GAAGACAACTGAGCCCCCTGCAGGGATAACGGGCATCCGAAACATTGGATGCCCTCATCCACTCATCGGAACCGCTGCCGTTACAACAGCAACAACAATGGAAACAGTCGGTATACACAGCGACAAAACGCAGCAGCAACATACCAACGGCGGCAAACAGACAACAGTTGGGCCCCTTGCAGGGATGGGGGCGTCCGACATATTGGATGCCCTCCTGCATGGCTCAGAGGCACTCCAGCCGCCCCCGCAGCCCGTTTTGGCTCAGCGCAGGTCGGCCCGATTGCGTGGGCCGCCATTCGGCCCCCGTCGGCAGTGGGGAGGAGCGCGATCAAGCGCCCCTCCGCCTCCGCTGGCGGCGCGAGGAAGGGCTTCCCGGGGCCTCCTGGGGCCTCCGGTGGCCCCCCGAGGCCTCCTGGGGCCTCCTGGGGCCTCCTGTGGCCGACTGTTGCCTCCTGAAGCCTCCTGCGGCTTCCTGGGGCTTCCGAAACCTTCTGGGCACTGGAAAACAGAAGAACACGAGGAAAAACACAGAACACCAAAGAAACCAACAGCCCAGGGCCGAACAACAAACAACACGCAAGGAACCATCAACCAAACTAAACAAACAACGTTTGCAGTACTTTCTCTGTGAGCCTTTGGTTTCTTCAGTTGTGTGCTTCTCGTTCGCTGTTTTGTTTTTCAGTGCCCAACCTCCTCTTCCTCCAACCCTCCTCCTCCTTCTCCTCCTGGCTCCTCATCGTGGCGGGAAGACCTTTTGTGCTGAAGTCGGACGAGGAGCAGGGGGGGGAGGAGGAGACGGGGAGAAAGAAGGAGAGAAAGAGAGAGAGAGAGAAACAGCCAAACCGAAGCGCATAAGGAGAGACATGTATGATGACAATGGGGCGGCCATATATATATATATATATATATATATACATTAATATAGACATATATATATATACAAACATACATACATCCATCAATCTACACACACACGTGAGCACAGTTCCATTTGAACGCGAGCCAGAACTTGAAGATGGCTGAATATGCGCTGCACGGACACTATGCGCAGGCGTGCCGTGCAAGGCGAAGCCCCTTTGGCCCCCGAGCAGGGCCGCGCTGCAAATGCCGACGCATTTGTGTCACGCATGTGGGGTGCGCGCGTCGCGAAACACGCCCGCCCGCCTCCCTCCGCATCCCGCCCACGCCCCTCCCCCAGTCTGCTTGGCCATTCCCTCGTCCGCCCGCTTCCAAGACCCCTCTCCACCCCCCTGCCCTTCGCCCACTTCTGCTTTCTCCAGCGGACACCCCGCGCCATCCACTCCGGGCTTCTCCATCTAGCATCTCAGGAACCCGGGGAACACCCCAAACCCTGACACCATCCAAGACGCCCGTACATGTAGGACGACCTGTGGAACCATCCTCATTATCTGGGGACTCTTGCAACATCAGCGCCCGAGGACAAACACCACCACTTTCCTTTCAGAAACAAGACGGTAACACCTGCTGCACAGCGGACGGCTGAAACGGCACACTCTGCTGCTGGGCGGCACGGCGACCTCCCTAGAGGCATCGAGCTCCACGCGTCGGTGGGGACACCAGCACGCCAAAATGGCGCGCGACGAGTGGCGACACGCACCGCAGCAACACAACACATGTCATAACGAGTTAATATGACGTATCTGATTCTGCCCAACAAACCGTCGGGAAGCAGCTGGGCGAGCCTCGCCTCCCTGGATTCGAGCTCTTTGGGCGCAGCAGCCCCTAGAGCAGCGCGCGCCCAGGGCGATCGTCGTCCCCGGCCAGAGAAATGGGGGAGGCCCAGCAAGAAGAAAGGGACTCGACCATGCCATCGGCCCCTGGTCAACAAAATGCAGGGTGATGCTCAAATCTGTAGGATGCTGGCCCATGACGATTCGTTTCCAACTGGACCTTCGCCCGCGCTGGTCCAGTGGTCCGAAGGCCCAGCTATTTGCGGCGGACATGTCTTCTTCAAGCCTCGACTTTGCCCCCCCAAAAAGCATACACCTTGCGTGTCTAGGATGATGTGTCTCTCGGGATCCTAAAACTGTAAAGGGACAAGGGCCACCTACGGACCAGAGCAGAAGCCAACGCCGCACACTGCCCAAATCCCATGCAAGAAAATGAAGATATCCGTGACGTCTTGAATGTCGACATAATTGTTGTCGTCAGCGATCGGCAGGGTGGGCGGCTCACTGAGGTGGTCTCAGTATACCAACATGCATGTCCGTAGTAAAACTCAGCCAGATAGATTCAGACAGCACAAACACATAGACAAGAGACGTCCGAGGGGCGGTGCGCCCTTCTCCTCAGGGCCGCCGTCGTTCTGGCCCCAGGGCTGGTAGAGAACGACTCCGTCCTGGGGCCAGGCACCGACGGCGACGTCACTTCTGGCGACCGCCGCTCTTCCCCGTTCCACCCCGCCTCGGTCTGGACTTCAGCGTACTACACAACGATTCTTCGTCCTTTGTCTGGAAACTCCTGGCCAACTCGATAACCA